CGTAGTTTATTACATTTATAATCAGAAAAAGAAAAATTAGGCAAAATTAAAAAAAAAAGCTAAGCTCAGAGAAGTAAAGTGACAGTATATTCAGAGGGGATTTTAAAATTAGAATAGTTTTGGGCCAGACACAGTGGTCTTATGTAGTAATCCTAGCACTTTGGGAGCTGAGGTGGAGGCTCACCGGAGGTCAGGTAGTTCAAGACTCAGCCTGGCCAACTACGCTGAAACCATCTCTACTAAAAATACGAAAATTAGCAGCGCGCTTCGCGGTGGTGGGCTGCCTATAATCGCCCAGCTACTCAGTGAGCTGAGTCAGGGGAAATCACATTGAACCCATGGGAGGCGAAAGTTCTGTGCAGTGAGCCGAGATTGCGCCATGGCACGTCACAGCCTGGGTGACCAGATGCAAAACTCCGGTCTCAAAAAAAAAAAAAAAAAAAGAAAAAAAAAAATAGAAAGTTCTGTGTATGCTGCAAATTTTTATCCTGACCGTATGTCTTATGGACCCACATTTGTCAAAGGTTATGGGGTTTGTGTTATAGGTTTAAAATCTCTGTTATTGGCAACTCGTCCCAGAAGACGTTTCAAGAAAGTAGTGAGTTTCATACCATTTAACAAAGTAGTTGGACCACTAGCATGGAGTTCCGGCAAAAACTCCATGGCCACCTTGCTAAGGTTGGGACATCACTGGGAAGCAGCCTAAGGGGTTGAGTGTGTGTGGTAGTGTTTGGTAGGATTGGAATCAGCTTGCTTGATTTTGTCTCCATGTTCCGCATTGAGATAGACAAGAAACTTATTAATGTCTTCTTGTCTTAGGAAGTTCATGCAATGCAAGAGGAATGATGCTTTATGTTGGCATTTTACTAAAAAAAAAAAGAGTTCGAGGAATCCATACCAAACACTAGTAATCTCTGGAGTGGTAAGTTTTTATGCAAGACCTCCACTTTCTAAATGCATATTTCTGTAATGTTTGAATTTTAAGTGTCTTTCAATTGTATGCATACTTGGATAAAATAAAGATATTTTTAATTAAAAGGGGCATGCTAGGTTTCCACTCTATCTCACTGGTGTGTGGCATGCATCGAGCTTTCATAGTTAGATCTTTAAGGCTCGACTTAAACATGAATTCTGTTCTTCTCCGAAGCCGCCCAAACAAAATCAATAACTGGTCACGTTTTTTCTTTTTTGCATTTGCACTGCATGGGGCTTTAACTTCTATTTCATCCTTACTTGGTTGTCCCAAATATTGTAGTTTTTGTTTACACATGCCTTCTGACTTTGCAAAAGGCAGATATGATAAGATGTGCGTAGTGTTTGATGGTACATGTGTCAAAGGAATAAATGAAGCTATATGTTATTTGATATTTGGGACCCTGGAGCTTCCCCTGCCTCTAGTATCCCACAAAATGCTTTGCACATAGTAGGAACTGCATAAATATATGCCGAATGAAGTAGATATGGGGCAGAGTTCTGAGTGCAAGAAGGTATGTCTGTGTGCTAGCACACACTCTTAAGGACTGGGAGTCAGATGAGGTCTGTCCACATGGAAATAATGGACACTACAAGCCTATATGCCACTTAACATTGATCCACATGTCATTTCTGGCATAAGCTGCTGCTTTATGACATAAGAAGAGGTGGATGTCTTACCAGGGCTACAAGTGAGCTGGGGCACATCTAGGTATGTCTTTCCTTTCAGGGAAGGGAGGATTTGAGCAATGGACATGGGGTTGTGGAATTTCCCCTGCTTAATCTCATCGAGTATCATATCCATAGTCTTCTTGCAGTTCCATTCCTTTTTAGGTGGCTGAGGTGTTACAGAGAGAGCCTGGGAAGGAAGAGAGAAAGAGAGAGAGAAAGAGGAATTAGGCATAGCTGAGAGTTGGCTCTTATATGTCTTAATAGATAAACTTGATCACTAATCATTGCGATCACGTAGTCACCCAGAATGCAAAGGCAGTGCTATGTAAGGTTTGGAACACATTTGTCTTCAATGCTATGTCCCCACCATTTAGCACAGTGTCTGTCAGACAGCAGACACAGAACTGTTCAATGATCAGATCCAGGGAACACTATTAGTCATATTTATGAACGATTCTTGAATGTAGAGTGAGGGTGAGAGCTGGGCTCCAGAGGGAGTTTTAGTCTAGGACAAGCTGGGCTCCAGAGGGAGTTTTAGTCTAGGACAAGCTGGCCACATAAATGGAGTAGACCCCTTGTTTTATGTTGTCATGTGCCCTCTTTGGTGGACTTTCCCCTCACTTTGTGCTTGTGTCAGGACTGTCAGAGGCTCCACAACCCTGGCCCAGGACGGACTCATGACCGGGGCTGGGCTGATGGTGGTGCACCATCCCCTTGATCACAGTGATTGGTGGACACATGTACTAATCAGAGTCATTCCCTGACATACAGACGTTGGGAGACCGAATGATTTTTTTTTTTTTTTTTCCCTCTGCTAAGATTGTTCAACTGGAACCATGCAAGTAAACAGTAAGCTGCTAGTGACCATCTGTCTCAGTCACTTTGAAGAAGCCCTGAAGCAGGAAAGAATGAGGAAAATCAGGGCTGGACGATGAAAAAAGAGTGGCCCCTAATATCATGATTTCAGCCCTTTCTTCTGGTTATTCCTGAAACCACCTAATTCAGCCCTAGACTTCCCAGTGTATGTGAATAGTAAATCCTCATTTTTTTTTTTTTCTTGAGCTAAAAGGATTTGGGTTTCTGCTACTTGCAAAATGAGTCTTGAGTAATACACCAAGCCATTCAGCCATTTGCCTATTTTGCTGCATTATCTATCGCATGAATAAAATAGAAATAATAACTTCTGTCTATTGTTGGGGGAGTCCTTTTAGGTTCCAAGGGGCTAATGTATAAAAGCATTTCGTGATGTATGATGTGGAAGCTGTAATTCCCACCTCCCTTCCTTTACAGTGCTGATTATGGCCACCAGAGCATGTGAATAGGCTGAGATTGTTGATGACAGACTATTTTAGATTAGGAAAATGTTATATATTAGACACCTATTGATTTCAGATTTCTGGATGCCTAAGTAAACTCCAGATAGAGGCAGTAAAAAGGGTAGGGAAAGATTATATATTCTGACAAGAAATCCACATGGCTTGTGGTATTTGGATACATACACAGTCCTGCCTTTAGATAGGAAAAGCTTTAATTCCCAGGTACAGCTTATCAGAGTGTACTTAGCAGGTGATAAAATCCAAACAGAATTCACAAACCAAGTTAGCAAAAGTAAACACTTCCCCGTCTGGTGCTAAATTGAAGCAAGGTTATTTTTAGTGAGTCACACACACACACACACAAATCCCCAAACCACCTTTTATATCTCTTCCAGACTGCCTTTTTCTTTCCAAAAAGCTTCTAGACCAGAGCACTGGAAATGCTCTTGTAAAATTCAGCCATGGAAAAAACAGGGTTTTGTTCTACGACAAAGTCTCCTTGACCGTGACATATAAGTGAGCTTTATTTTTATTAGTCACTTCTATACGTGGTCCTTTGAAGTGCAAATTTTGTTTTTGCTCTTAGGTTTAACGTGAACCAATTCTTAGGCTGCTTATATCCTTTTCTAATTTTTAATGTATGAAATCTCAATACTAGTCTCTGTTGTTTTCCTCAGGAGACAATTTCTTTCTAATAGTCCACAACTATGTTAGGTTTAGGGCTGGCATCATCATGCCATGATTCTCCCTTTCCTGGGCTTTCTGAGTTGAAGAGTCCCTGGTCCTATTAATCCCCATAGGACATTTTGAGACATTGGAGCTCAGAGTTCTTGGTTGGGATTAGAGGATTCAGCCACAGATGGCTGCTAGTTTTTGATTCGAGTTGGTTACTTCTGCCCACTATCGTTGGTGCATCTGTCTTCCGTAGAGGCTGCTGCCCTAATCAACTAGGGTAGGGTGGGTTGTTGGATTTGGAACTATTAACACTAAGAACATCTTACAGAATCCAAGCCTGGGAATGTATATGCTATTAAAGCATAGAATTGAGTATGGACTTGGCTGCCAGATAGATCTGCTTTACCATTTACTATGGGTTTTTGTGAGGCTGGGTCAATGTTAGGTTATTTTCCTTAATCACTTTGAGTATAAACTTGCTATTTTTAGATCAAGGTAAAACACTGGGCTGGGCGCGGTGGCTCACGCCTGTAATCCCAGCACTTTGGGAGGCCCAAGGTCAGGAGATCGAGACCATCCTGGTTAACACCGTGAAACCCTGTCTCTACTAAAAATACAAAAAATTAGCCAGGCGTGGTGGCGGGCGCCTGTAGTCCCAGCTACTCAGGAGGCTGAGGCAGGAGAATGGCGTGAACCCGGGAGGTGGAGCTTGCAGTGAGCCGAGATGGCGCCACTGTACTCCAGCCTGGGTGACAGTGCGAGACTCCTTCTCAAAAAAAAAAATAAAAAGAAAATAAAAAATAAAAATGAAAATAAAAATAAAAAAATAAAAAAACACTGAAAAAGAACACTTGGCTGGTAAGATTGCATCAGAAAATTCTATATTTTTAGAGGGCATGCTTTAATATTCTTATTATTTATACATCAAAATTGCAATAGTCTATAATTATTACAAAAAACTGATCATTACTAATAATAAATTAATATATTTCTTGATTTATTTGTTTCATTTTTTTTCCCAAGGAAGAGAAATGAGTTCATATAGATTTGTTTTCACACTTTACATAAGAGGTAGGGAGGAATTAACACTTACCTGCATTTTACCGGTAGAGAAACTGAGGCCCAGGCACCACAGAGAATATATCTCAGGTCATACTAGCTGGATTTTCACAGAGATGTTAGTAGAAGCCTGGCTTCTTGATTCTGCAATCCAGGCTTATTGGCAGGAACCCAACCAAGAACATCCAGCACGTGTTTACCTGCATGGCGAGGCCAGTACTGTAGATGTCTCCAATGATGCCATTATCTTTGATCTTCGTGCTGATATTCTCCACAATAGCCTTTAGTACCTGACCAAACAGGGCTCTGTAACCTTCCTCTGAACCTACAGGGATCTTGTTGTACATGCAGGTCAGAGCCAACGTTGCCATTGCTCCTGTGTCTGTGAATCACAGAGGGGATAAGATCACCATAGTCACCATCACAGCAATATGAACAGCTAGCATTTATTGTGTGCTTATTGTATTCTGGCTCCATGATTTCATTTGCTTCTCAGAACAACCTGTGAAATAGTACCTGTAATCATCTCCCTTTAAGAGACAAAAAATAGAGGCTCAGAAAAATTAATTGCCCAAGGCCACACAGTCAGTAAGTACAAGGCCAAGATCTTAACCCAGATCCATACAACTCAACAGCTCATGCTTGTAATTAATATAGACAGGCAGTACGTTCAATCATACAGCTCTTGTGCCAGAAAAGACAGATGCAGTCTCTGTTTTAAACTCCTTTAGCATTTGTTGTTTATATATCTGTTTTACAATCTTGATGCTCTCTTTTATTTTTATTTTTTGTTACTGTGCTCTGTGAACTCTTAGATGGTGGGAATTTTGCATCCACCAAAGCACCCCACAAAGGGACTTCTTCTTGTTTGCATGCAATAAACATGTGGAACAAATGAGCAAGTTCTGGGATGGCAAGACTAGAAGAAATAAAAGACTTGCCAGATACCATCTTTTATTTCATTGATCTTCCCCTCCTCACCTTAATCTCCATTTGGAAGTTGCATAACTTCATTAAGGGTGATAGTGTTATTGACAGCCAGAAGGAAATAAGTCCATACTTTTGGAGGCAGAGATGCCCCAGTAATGTGTGAGGTCCCGGATGTGAAAGGGAGACCAGTCTGTTCTTGACCCCCAGGGAGGATCCTAGAGCAATGGTTCACCTGTTTGTCTGACAGGAACTGAAACAAGAGAGGCTGCTGATGGGGCGTGTGTAAGGGAGTGAAAACCTGAGACAATACTATTGCTTAGAGAGTTGGCAGAGGAGAAGAGGTGACCATGAATGTGGGCTGTGACAGTGGCCCCGACAGAGAAGGATCATTATCCATAGAAGGGGACAGAAGGAGGACATGATGTCGTAGAGGGAAAAGCATTCACTCACAAGCAGCCATATGCTTGCAGAAGAAAGACGCAAGGTGGTCCCCGAGTTTCCATGAAGGGAAACATCGTGAGTTAGGGTTCCGAGAGTAGCTGTTTAATGGAGAGAGGATATTTGGATGTACTGAGGAGAAGCATCAAAAAGAATGGAGTGTGAGAGCATCAGTAGTGATTAAAGAGGAGATGCAGAGGAGAAGTGAAGCAAGACATTAGTATTTAATTTGGGAAGAACTTCTGACTTGAATGACATGACTATTGTTCCCAGCGGAGATTCTGTAGCTGCCAGACATATCAAGTGTTATCTAGTGTCCTTGTTTCTACATAATGCTCCCTCGCCTTCCTTCATGTACTCCTCAATTCACCTGCCCAACAAACTTCTGGTAAGTATCTCCCATCCACAGGCACATTCACGTCCTTAGCTCCTCCTCCATGGAATGCTCTCCTTTTCCACTTCCCTGTGCCAGCTCCACCATTCAGTGCACAATGCCTCTGATGTTCCCAGCTCAGGGTACTGGTGACCTACTCACCTACATTGAAGGGAGAGGAGTTGGCTAGCAGGGTCTTGGCAAAGCGGACGGCTATCGGCAAGGTCACCTCAGAGTTCTTCTGGCACAGTGCCAAGATCGCTAGACTGGGCCCATAGAAGGCTGATGCTTCAGCATTGGGGCCTCCAAAGGGGACAGAGAACCTTCATCAGACTCACACTCAACACAATGAGGACATTTGCAAACAAGGAAAAGCCAAGCCTTTGAAGAGGAAATTGCTAGAAAACCTGCCCCCAAAGAGAGACACAGCATAGGCAAAGAGCAACTACAGTGTTTATCAAAAGAATGTCATCAGGCATCTGCAAAGAATAAAAGGGATGACTCTGTCTTCAGACAGGTGATGACTCGACAAGCTTGTATCCTTGGGATCATGACCTTTTCTAGTTCATTTTGGATTGGAAATGAATCTTTCCATTGTGTGATTATCAGAAGGACCAGAGTGAAGGATACATTGTGTCTCTTCCCTAACTTTCCTTTCTCTTCACCCCCACCCTTTTCCTGTCTGGGTTTAAAGTTCTTGGGAAAAACCATGTGCCTGACTTTCTTCTCCCTTCCAGTGAGGTCTTACTGGAAGGTGCCCAATTCTCCATTTGTCTTTGTAGAATGGATACTTTATCCCCAGGGTCTCGGCAGGAGGAGGTGAGGGCCATGATGGTGAGGCCAAGCTGCCCAATGGTTAGATCTGCAGAGAAGAGAACACAATAGTTAGACCGAGGCATCCTCAGGGGACAACTCTCCAGGAGCCAGTGATGAGGTCTCTGCTTTTTATCCAGAGCATTTTGACTTTTTAATAATACGAGCAGTTTTTTGATCTGTCTTTCCAAAAAAAAAATATGGAAGAATACATAAGGGAATATTTAATATAGTGGCCTCTGTGTAACTTGATGACTCTAGTATTTGCTATTTGAGAATCCCTGGTGTTTGATTAGAAAAGCAGCAAAATACTCATCTAGATTTATATACAGAAATTTGCAGTTACAAAATAATTTAAACTTTATCTACCTTGAGCCTCCACGCAACTCCTGGGAGATAGGCAGAACAGAGATTTTATCATTATTATCATTGCTATTAGCAGTAGTAGGGTTATTGCTATTAGAATCATCTGGAAGGTGAGGCTGAGCAATATCCTGTGACTTGTCTCAGATCCCAGAGTTATAAAGTGGCAGAGCTGGAACTGGAAGACTGCTCTTTTGACATCTAGTCCAGAGCTCTCTCTGCTTTACTGACCTCCTCCATGAATGCTCTGACTTCACATGTGTTTCGTTCCAGTTCCCTTCCAGGTATGTAGGGAAAAGTGTTTGGGTGGTTTATGTACAATCAGACGCCGCAGTCGGGTGGGAAGGACACTGAGTTGGGATCTGGAGGTGGTGTGTGATGTGTGAGATTCAGGGAGAGTGCGAGCGGCTCAGATGTCTCACCGTTGGTGTCGCTGGACATGAGCTGGTAAGTCAGGAGTTTCTGGGCCTTCAAATTGTAGGCTCCAGCCAGATTCATGGCAATCAGGATGCTGGGGTTTGGGTAGGCTGATGAAGTCACCGAGTTCTCCATGAGTACTTGTATGCCATTGACCAAGGGCTCCTGGGCTGAGGGAACCGCTGAGAAGAGGAAAGCCATTTACTCACCTTCTAACCCTCATTCCTTCTCAAAAACATTATTCCTGTGTCTTTGATGCTTTTTTTTTTTTTTTTTTTTTTAGACAGTTTCTCTCTTGTCACCCAGGCTAGAGTGCAATGGTGTGATCTCGGCTCACTGCAACCTCCACCTCCCAGATTCAAGTGTTTCTCCTGCCTCAGCTTCCCGAGTAGCTGGGATTACAGGTGCGCACCATCATGCCTGGCTAATTTTTGTATTTTTAGTAGAGACAGGGTTTCACCATGTTGACCAGGGTGGTCTCAAACTTCTGACCTCAGGTAATCCACCCTTCTTGGCCTCCCAAAGTGCTGGGATTACAGGCGTGAACCACCTCGCCTGGCCGTCTTTGGTGCCTTTTAAGCGAATACTTGGTTAGCACTGGTATCCTAAGTCACTAAAGAGAAATGGAGAAAATGGTGAGATTTTACTTTTGAGGACAATTAGTTTCTCTATCTTCTCAAATAATCCATATCCTTAAGAAAGTGATTTTTAAATTTAGTAACTTCAAGCAATATGGCTCATGACATTTCTCATAGTTTCTATCACTTTCCTGGAAATCACTGATTTCCTTGCATTCGTTTTTTTCCTCACTCTTTCATGAAGAATATTAAATATTTGGAATATAATTTATCCTTACTGAGTACCAAAATCTCTTACTAGTATGTAGTGGTGTCTGGTCACAATAGCCACTGAATGTCTGTCTTTGTACCATCAACCATTATTCCTGCAGTAGTACTTTCATCTCTATTATTTTTATTTATTTATTTTTTGAGACAGGGTGTTGCTGTGTCATCTAGTCTGGAGTGCAGTGGTGTGATCATAGCTCACTGTAGCCTCAACCTCCTTGGCTTAAGCAATTCTCCTACCTCAGCTTTCTGAGTAGTTGGGACCACAGGTGCATGCTACTATGCCCAGCTAATTTTTTTTTAAGATTTTTTTTTTTTTTTTTGGTAGAGATTGAGTCTCACCATGTTGCCCAGGCTTGTCTTGAACTCTTGGGCTCAAGCAATCCTCCTGCCTCAGTCTCCCAAAGTGCTGGGATTACAGGTGTGAGCCACTGTACCTGGCCCCATCTCTCTTAATCAAAAACGTATAGACTTGCCTCTCAAAGAACTTATGCTATTAAGTCAGGAAAGATGAACAGCACACAATCACACTTGGACTTACCCATTTTGGAATTCCTATAGTGATTGCTATTTTCAACCACTTTCTCCTCAGCAGAGCTCAGTGTCAGAGGTCACAGCCCCTCCCCAGGGCAACTGCTTCCCTGACCTCCTTGCAAAAACATCATACTCACAGCATGAACTCCGGGACTGGGTACTAGTCCCAGCTGTAGCCCAGAGAAGGCTCAGGAGGTAGAGGGCAAACCAGGCCATCTCACTCTCCTGTCCACGTCTCTCATCCACAGGTACTCCGATTTGCGAGTGGAATATTTCTTTACCTTCTCTTATATGTGCTTCCCTTTGTTAAATAATCTGCTCCCCAACCCAGCCTCTCCTAACTGCCCCTGTGCTGACCTCTCCTTTCCTGATACAAGTAAGTAAATTTTCATCAGCTTATCTAAGTTTACCGACTATAGACCCTCCAAGGTGTCTGAAGGTGACTTCTAGGTTACACAGTCATATGAGAAACCTGGGGCTGGGTATGCAGTGAAGGCAGTGTTGAGAAAATGTCCTTTACCAAAGTCCTGGGTCAGACATCAGGAAGTTTGGATAATGTGTTAGTATCAACAAGACTTCTTCTAGCCCTTATTGTATCCAATCAGTCATCAGGCTGCTTTTTAGTAACTACTTTACTGGGATTTAGGTCATTCATAGACATCAGCTCATTTTATGATCCTGGGCACCTGCTTTACAACACGCCCTTTTAGGCTCTCAGGCAGGCATCTGCCAGGTGACATCTGGCTTTATGAAATTAATGATGTCTACCCGGACCTGGATTCTAGCCTAGACTCTTTGAAGTGGTTTGACTTTAGGGAAGAAATGGACCTCGGTTTCCCAGAAATGGTTTTGTTTGAGTTCTCTTTCCTTATCTGGAGATAAGAGCCGTCTCAAACACCCCGAGCTTTCAGATATTATCTTTTAAAGTAAGTAATTAGAAAATGTGAGATCCATTAAGTATACATATTTCAGATGTGTAGCTATATTATAATGCAAATTATACTTCTTTACAAGAGGGAACTGAAAATGGTATCTTGAAATTATAAAGAAAGGAGCTTTTTTTTTTTTTTCCCCTGGATGTAAAGTAGCTCATTTTAAGGGGGAAATTCTGCAGTAGCGCCCATCTTAGCATAAAAGTCAAAGCCCTTTTCATGACCTACAAGGCGGTAGAAGATCTGGCTTCTGGTTTCCTTTCTGACCTCAGCTCCAGGCGTTTTCTCCTTTGCTCACACTGCTCCCATCACACAGAACTTCTTGTGTCCCTTGAACACATCAGCTATCTTTGCACGTGGCGTCCCCTCAGCCCGGGACCCCTCTTCTTTTAAATAGCCTCCTGGTGGCTTCCTCACATCCTTCACGTCTCTGCTCAGAGCTAAGCTTTTAGAGAGGCCTTCTCAGGACATCCTACATAAGATCCTGCATCCTCCCCTCCACTGACACCCATCATGCCCCTCGCCTGCTATAACTCATCGCCCGCTGTCGCACTATGTGTGTGGTTGTTTATCGTTTGTTTATCTCCCTACTAGAATGTCTGCTCCACGAGGGAGGGGCTTTGTCTCTGGCTCACTGCTCTGTCCTTAGCCCTTACAACACAAACTAGCTCACAGCAGAAATAAAATACTTTTTGAATGAGTGAATTAATGAGCAAATGTAAGACGTGGGTAATAAAGCAGTTTTTTTCCCCCTTGGGAAACATGGTGAGTTTTGTGAGATGAGAGCACGGGGTACGTATTGGGGTATGCTGGACAACTTCTAACATGTCCCCGTGTTTTCACCTCCTGGTATTCATGCCTTGTGTAGCCCTCTTCCCTAGAGTGTGGGCTGGCCTGGGGCCACATTCTATTATAATGAATATAATGCGGCAAAGGTGATGGGATGTGTTTGTGAACGACCGATTTCCCTCTTGCTTGCCTTCTCTCTCTGGCCCTTCCT